TGTTGATACACAAATATTTTAAGAGAATATTATCATTAATTTTTATCCTTGTTCATTGATTCACGTTGAAACTTGCATTAAATGCTAAACTAAAACGTTTAATGTAACAAATTAAAGTTTAGTAATGTCTAACACATATACAAAATGATACAATTCAAACAAACACAAAATAAAACAATATAATCACTGTCGCTAAAATGACACGTAATATAAGCAACCGATTTAAGATACCGTCACCTTTACATCACGATTACTCCAGCTAATACAAAATGCCACATGTACGCACTCTAATCAACATGAGAACCCAGACAGCTGGAGAAGATGTTTCTTTAAGTAAAGCTGGCGTTTATCTTAGTCAAAGTGCCAACCAATACAAATACCAAATCTTCCAATTCCAATACAAAACACATACAAATAAAAACTTAAAAAACCGGAAATACATTTTTTTTTTTTGTCAGGAAAAACAAAATACTTAAAAAGAAAAAGAAAAAGAAAAAGGAAACTTAACAGGCCCACTACTAGGCCCAAACAGGGCCCACCCACCCATCATCATCATCACAGAAGCAAAGGGGTCAGAACCAGGTAATAAAAATTCAGAAAAATAGAAAATTTAAATTAAACAAGAGAGCGAAACAGAGAAAACAAAGAGTTGTCTTCTCTCTCCCTATCTCTCTCCTTTTCCTGGCTCAGATCCAATGAAAACCAGCAGAGAAAACAGTTGGTACACCCAAAAGAGAGATTAAACCTCATTAATCACAGGATTATTAGCCTAATCACGAATTAAACACCCCCAGAACAAGATGTATTAATATTGCTCTGTACCCCTGCCCTACCTTCTTTTTTCGGTCCCCCTCACTCACTTACCCATTTATCACCAAACCCTCCAGAAAATTAAATTTCGAAATTAAAGCGTTTTAATGACGACGAGAGGGAGCAGATCGGAGAAGGTGAAGCGGATTTTCCACCAGTTCGATGACAACCATGACGGCGGCCTCAACCGCGACGAGATGGCGGCGCTCGTCGTCGCCGTAAACCCTAGGGTCAAATTCAGTGACGAGCAGATCAATGCCATTTTGGATGAGGTGTTTCGGACGTACGGTGACTTCATCGACGGCGAGAAGGGGCTGACGTACGAGGGGCTTTTGCGGACCTACGACGATGGAGCCGGTGATGTGGACCGTGACTTCGACGCGCTCGGGTTGGAGCTTACGTTGGACGAGAACAAGGCCTCCATGGACTCAGAGGCGTCCTCGTCGGCGATTGTCGATGAGAGGTTGGTGGAGTCGCAGAAGAAGCAGAGGACTGCGGCGTGGGCGGTGTCGCCGAACCACGGGATCGTGTTCGACGACACGTGGAAGATTGTGGACGATTTGGAGATTCTGGTGAAGCGGTTGAAGGCGAAGCAGGGCAAAGACGGGAAATTGAAGGCGGACAACATCGACGCCCTCTCCGACGCCGGATGGTCGAGAGAATTGGGGCCGTCGATGGAGATTTCTGAGAAAAGGGTATTTTGGGAAGAGAATGGGCATGATTATGCTTTGTTTGTCAAAGAATTGGGGGTGCTGAGGAGCCGTTCCGACGGAGCGAGGTCACGTGAGCAGGCCTTCGACGGGCACATGGCGATTGGGAGGGTGCTGTCCGAGCACCAGCTGTTTAAGGAGGCACTGGTGAGCTTCAAGAGGGCTTGTGAGTTGCAGCCGGTGGATGTGAGGCCACATTTCCGAGCTGGAAATTGCTTGTACGTTCTTGGCAGGTGTAACGAAGCGAAAGATGAGTTTTTGCTGGCTTTGGAGGCGGCGGAGGGCGGCGGCAACCAGTGGGCTTATCTGCTTCCACAGATTTATGTGAATCTCGGCATTGCGCTTGAAGGTGAAGGTATGGTTATGAGTGCTTGTGAATATTATAGAGAAGCTGCAATTAGTTGTCCAACCCATTTTAGAGCTTTGAAGCTTTTGGGTAGTGCTCTTTTCGGGGTTGGGGAATATAGGGCGGCTGTCAAGGCCTTGGATGAGGCCATTTTTATGAAACCCGATTATGCCGATGCGCATTGTGATTTGGCTTCGGCTTTGCATGCCATGGGGGAGGATGAGAGAGCAATTGCCACATTTCAGAAAGCTATTGATTTGAAACCTGGTCATGTGGACGCTTTGTATAATTTGGGAGGGCTGTATATGGATTCAGGTAGGTTTCCGAGAGCTTCTGAGATGTATACTAGGGTTTTGGCTGTGTGGCCTAACCATTGGCGTGCTCAGCTTAACAAGGCTGTCTCTTTGTTGGGAGCCCGGGAAACTGAGGAAGCTAAGAAGGCTTTGAAGGAAGCATTGAAAATGACCAACAGGGTTGAATTGCATGATGCCATTGCACATTTGAAGCAGCTACAGAAGAAGAAGGTGAAGGCAAACAATGGAGAGGGTTCTTTCGTCGTTGTGGAACCTTCGAAATTTAAGACAGTTGGAGAGAAGGCTACTTTGAGGCAGGACATGGCCAATGCACTTGAGATAAGGGCCTTTCAGAGGATTACCAGGTTGAGTCGATGTGATGTGGAGCTGCTTAAGAAGGAAATGAATGATGGCGATGTACCTCTTTCATATTCAGGCACTGGTGTTCCTCAGAGATCCATACGCAAGCCTAATTTGGAAGTAATCCTCCGCAGGTTGCTTAATTTCCTAAAGCCAGAGACTTTCCAAGGAGCTGTTAAAGCCATAAACGAGAGGATACTCTCTGTCATGGATGATACAGGCTCAGGCAGAGTGGATTTGGGAATGTTTTTTGCTGTTTTAGCTCCTATTTGCAGTGGCTTGCCAGAAAAGCGCAAAAGAGTTGCATTTGATGCGCTTTTATGGCGTCCTGTGAACGAAGGTGGTGGTTCTCAGATAAGAAAGGCTGATGCCACTAAATACATGAAACTGTTGAGAGCCATATATGTCCCTTCCCATGGAGATAGTGAGATGCTGGAACTCCATGGAGAAACGGATCTTTCCACTATGTCTTTCACCGAGTTTCTTGTCATGTTTGACGACCCAGATTGGGGTTTTGGTATCATGTCCACGCTGTTGAAGCTTGAAACTGGGGACAGAAACCGCCACGGCAACCATGTTTGCTCGGTCTGCCGCTATCCGATTATTGGGTCCCGATTTAAGGAGGTAAAATCTCACTTCAGTTTGTGTAATCAATGCTATAGCGAGGGAAAGGTGCCTCCTACCTCTAAGCAGGAAGAGTACAAATTCAGGGAATACGGAAGCGAGGCTGAAGCCATGAAAGACAAGTGCAAGTGCTTTACACTGCAATCCCACAAGGCCCCATAGCTAGACTCTTTTTCTGTTCTTTCTGTATATTTCCTTCGTCGCAATCTAGTTGTTCAGTGTGAAATATATCGATCACGAATGTTTTCGGTCGGCCTTATGCCGTTGTATAATACATTTGTTTCGGATGTCTCTGCCGTATCATCATCTGTATAACGTGCTTCGGTTTCCTGTATTTGTTCTTTCTGTTCATTCGACGATGATTTTACTCCTCTGCCTCGAAGATTAATCCCGGAAATGCCGGTTAGGGTTTCCATTCTGTTCAAAGCACTAGGTGCATGCAAGAAGCACGGTTATGTCATCCATCTGGTGTGAGAAAGAAAGGAAACGAATTTTTCTCAAAACACTACTGCTTCGTTTATATCAGGATTTTTGGCTGACGGTTGCCAAATGCAGCTTCAAGTTCGAAATTCGAAAACCCTAACCTGCATTTGCAGCTAGCCAAGAAGAATCGTCATGGGAGCAGTAGCCGTAACCTCGGCGAAGCACATGATATGCATGATGATCATGTCTGTTGTGATGATTACGCCCACAAGGGCAACAGCATCGCCATCATCATCATTACCGATATCACCAGCCGCAGCCCCAGCCCCGTCACCATCATTTCTTCCTTCCGACCAAACGAAAAACCAGGTGCGGCAGGGAGAGGGAGGGCGAGAAGATGAACACCGCTACGAGGCCGAAGCGTCGGAAATAATTCTTGATGACTATGGCATTTGGAGTTCCACACCTTACTTTGGTAGAGGTGATATGGCTCCTCTTCCCCACTGAGAAGTATTTTCTTGCTGCCACGTTGTAGTAAATCATGAATGTATAATTAATGACCAAGTGTTTTACATTTCAATCAAGTTATTCATGTTTCCGTGCATCAACTAGAGATTGAGGCTTCTTTAGCAGTGCATATTAGTTTCAGGTAACACGAGCCTTAAACTCAACTCGAGTCTTACCAAAATTTTGAAATTCAAAACTAAACATTTAATTCTCTAAAACTCGCTACATGTGTACAAATATGACTTTCTAGTGTCGGAATATGTGTCATGTGTACTTATTTTTTAAATTTAATATCAGATTTTTACGAAACGAGCAAAGTGAGATATGAGTTACCAAATGCAGCTTTGAGGTGGGATATTCGAAAGCCCTAACCTCCATTACCATTTGCCCAAAAAAATACCTCCGTTACCTCCTTGACCAATTACGTCCATCATCATTGCTTAATAACTTATTTGACTTTTTGTGAGCTGATTTCTCACTTTAATTGTGTAAGTTGATTTTGCTAGTTCACCTATCATCATTAAACCACATGGTTTTTGTATAAATATTGGGTTTTGACCCAATGAATTAACACATGGGAGCAGTAGATATGAATCATGATCATGTCTATTATGATGATTACGTCCACGAGAGCAACCGTATCCCCGCCATCATCACCGGCCACGGCCACGGCCCCAGCCCTGTCACCATCATTTCTGTCTGTCTGTCTGCCGAGAGAACAACCAGGTGCAGCAGGGAGGAAGAATACACCGCTACAAGGCGCAAACGCCGGAAATAAGTCTTCAAGACTACGGCACTTGGGATCCAACACCGTATTAAACAAAGCCGTTCCTTCAATCAAAGTATTCATATTTCTATGTAAGTCCTTGTGTCGGAGTAGCGGCGTACCCGCGTGATGTAAGCCCTCACACGACAGTGAGGATTGAATAAATCAAAAGAAATACACTAGAAAACTATGGAAAAAACAAAGTTTACTGTCCATGCTTTTGTAGCAGATCTTTCACCTCTTGCTACATTACATATGCTAACAAAGAACTCGAGGCATGTCCTATCTATTATGACCAAACAAAAACATCAGAAACCAAGCTTTCCGAACATAAATTTTACTCGATCCCATCGTCATTTAACTTGTATTCTACGCTTCTCAAAATCAAGGCAATGAGGATGGAGAATACAGCACCTCATTTAACATGGTTGGTCCTAGATTACTGCATATATTGGTGGTGTTATGAAATGTGGAAGCTCATGGGATACCACCGTCTTGACAATAATCCGCTACTCTCTTTTTAGTCTAACCTAGAAGAACATAATTAAACAAATCAATTAAAATAAACCATACTTCCACAAACTGCCGGATTTCAAAGAAATAGCGATGCAATTTCAATTACCTGGAGGTGTAACGATCAGTACAATCACATAAGATGAAAAGAAGAAGGGCCAGATATGGCAACTACTCTCTGAGCATGCTGTGCTTCACCCTTGTAAAGTTCCTTTATTTCCTTTTTAGTGCGGCGTGCTTCCCGCCTTTCTTCCTTGACAGCAGCCTGTATACATATATCTTTGAGTCATGATCAAAAGAACAAACACACTTCGAAACAACATAAGCAAAATACAATGGACAAAATTGCACACATTATCGAATGCCAAAAAGAGTATCTTTGATATTGTAGATGCGAGTTATTTGCTTCCAGTTTTTGCCCTTAAATTGTTAGTTTACGGATTTTATAAAAGTGTGGTAAGTTGGATGTAATGGCATGCTCAAGACGAGCAAAAATGAATAGCAGAACAGCAAATGGATACCTTTCGCTCTTTCTTCTCCTCCTTTGACTCCTGACCATGCTGCTTCCTTTTCAGCAGCTGATTTTTCAAGGCATCCGTATCTTTCACCTTCTCAGTTGTAGGTTTTTTACTATGAGGCAGGAAGTCCACAGGCAGCTTCTGTTTACCTCGAAGGGTTATCACATGATCGGTGGAACCCAAGGCTCCGGAAACCGTTTCAGAAAGCTTCTTCCTTCTAGTTGCTCCTGGAGCTTCGATTTTCCCTGGGTGGTTATCGAGATTTGAATATGTAGTAACAATGGTCTCACAATCCCACACTTCTGATTCATCGCTAGATTCCTCTACAATGACCACGTCTCCATCTTGATCTTCGTTCTCATATTTCTCACCATATTCTGCACAACGCCGAATAAGCACATTAGCAGATTCCACTAGCTCTTTCGTTTTTACTGTCTCATTATCCCGCAACATATCTGCAGGAGCCTTATAATTTCCATCGAGCTCTAAGTCATCCATCACACGCTCATTAAGGGTGGCATGTTTGAGCTTCTCTGCAAGGGACTCATCTTCTTCAGGTACATAGTAATCATCGTCATCATCATTGTCATAACTACCATACTCCTGACCTACAAGCTGTTTTTTTCATAATAAAAATGTGAGATAATGAAGTATAAAGGAAAAATCACCTCAAACTATAAAGTTTAAGTAACATAACTAAATATGCCAAAAAAAATAACTCACTAAATCAAATTGCTCGTCCAAAAGACGATGAACTCGTGGCTTTTCAACTGTAGAGTCATCCTTTGCTTCTGCCACGCTATTTGTTCTCACTCCATTTGCTTCATTGGTCACATTTTTATTCTCAGATTGCTCAACAAAACTTGGCGTATTATCTATAACCCCATCCTCCTCCTCCTCCTTCTCTTCTTCGGGAAGGTTAGCCTGAACCACAAAATCTTCTTCCAAATCCTCAACATCAGAACCAAACCGCGATAAATCGCTATCATCAAGCAATGCAGATACTTCTGGATCAACCACTTTCTGAACCCTTACATTAACCGTATTAGAAGCAACACTGTAAATAACCTTCTCATTGGGTGCCTCAGTTTCCGAAATGCGCAATCTCGAAGCATCATATGCCTAAAAATCCACTACAGTTATTAAGTACAACAAAAATCTTCTAAATTGCTATTGTTTTATAGCTCAAAATGTAAAAGACAGAAATTTTCTACTTTACTCTTTCTTTTTCCTCAATTTTCTCGGAAGTCAAATAGAATTTAAGCAACCAAAAGCTAAGTTAGCAAACCAACCTTTTCATCGCGCGGGATATCACCGAGCTTAGCCTTGGAATTCTGATAAAATGCAGAGCCGCCGCCAGTATTCCGAATCTCCCTCATATGCAGCAAGTAATTATAGCCGTCGTCGGGAAACCCTAGCTCCAGAATCTCCTTCCTTACGTTGTCAGGCAAAGGCTGAGCTGCCAACGACGCTGCCGAGCTCCCGTAACCATGGCCATAGCCCCCGCTGCAGCCGCCATCCTCAGGCGCATCGGCGTATATCGAATTGGGATCGTCGTCGTATCCGCCGGCAGCTGAGGGGTGGTCAGGGTTATCTTCGGGGAATAAGCTGTCGACGGAGTAGCTGCTGTTGTCTACTCGGACAAAGACTCGATCGTTGCCGGGTGAGTCGTCGTAGTTGGGATCGGACGAGTCGCGGGCAAGTAATTGGAAGGTCGCCGATTTTTTCTTGTCGATGAATTTCTTCTTTCTGCCCATTTTGTTTTTCGCCAAATCAGAGACGGTTGTGAGAGAGAGAGAGAGAGAGAGAGAGAGGAGGCAATGGAGACTTGAAAGACGGTGAAGTCGTGTGATAAAACCCTATCAATGTCTGCTGTGTTAAACCCTAAAAAATCTTGAGTCGACCCGAATGGCCCAAAATTCAAAATCTTCATTTATTTGGGCCTTATTTTGAGACCAGACCAAAAGTCTCCTAGTTTTCAATCGATTTTGCGATCTAAAGGATTTCAAAGATGTCATTACGAAATTTCATTCTAACTATGCTGCGACTCCGCCAATATTTTTTATTAATTAATTTTTCAAGCTTAAAAATTACTTTAGGCCAAATTTTTTTCGTGATCGTTGTGATGATACTCTACTTTTAAATAGACTCCTATGGTGAAAAAGCTATTAATTGTAATTCTGTGGTGAAATTTGTTATCAATCATAGTCTAAATTGGATTTTTCCTCATTCTTCTATCATTTGTAGGGGTAAAATTGTTATTTTCATTTTTATTAATTCTATGAACCAATCATAAAGCGCCATATGAACATAATTTTTTATTTTTATTTTTAAAACTTTTAGAACTACAATAAAAGAATAAATAAACAATAAAATTACAAGATTCATATTATCAGATTTTCTCATTTCAAGAGAGCCAAGATTTCAAATTCAAGATTTCAAAAATCACAAAGTACCTCACCACGTTTAGGTTAGAATATAAGTTATTATGCAAACATTGAATTTAGTTTCATTTTAAGAATAGTGGTGGACGGGATGGCTATGGTTATGTGAGAGAGAGGGGGGAAGGTGGTGGGTGGTTGTTGTAACATCCCACATCGCCCAGTGGAGGATCATATAAACCTTATATGTATATTCTCATCTCTACCTAGCACAAGGTCTTTTGGGAGCTCATTGGCTTGGGGTTTCATTGGAACTCCGAAGTTAAGCAAGCTTGCACGAGAGCAATCCTAAGATGGGTGAACCACTAGGAAGTTCTCATGTGAGTTCCCAGAAACAAAACTGTGAGGGCGTGGTTAGGGTCCAAAGCAGACAATATCGTGCTACGGTGGAGTTGAGCCCGGAATGTGGTGGGGACCCGGACAGGGATGTGACAGTTATCGTAGCTGTGGCTGACAAGGGTAGGGATTGGGGAAGGATTTTTTTTTTCCTTCTATTTTTGTTGATTATAAAAAAAATGGAATTAACAAAATGAATTTCAATTTGGACAACGATTGATAATGAGGGGACCCGTACATGGATGTGACAGTTATCGTAGCTGTGGCTGACAAGGGTAGGGATTGGGGAAGGATTTTTTTTTTCCTTCTATTTTTGTTGATTATAAAAAAAATGGAATTAACAAAATGAATTTCAATTTTGACTACGATTGATAATGAACTTCACCACAGGATTAAGATTAACACTTTTTTCACCATAAGAATCGATTTAAAAGTAATGCCTCACCACAAGGATCAAGAAAAAAATTTAACCATTAATTTATGACTCGATAAATAGTATAATCGCTTTTACATTAGCTTATAATATTTTCTCTATACTATTGTAAAAACTAAAACATCTCATTTCCCCAAAAAACATAACTTATAATACTTTCTCTATAAAAGTAAAACATTTCATTTCCAAAAAAGTTGTGAGCTGTAAGACAAGGTTTTTAATCGGTTATAAACTTTCATCGGACCATAAGCTTCGTGAAATTTATGGAGGGCATTTCAAATATGTTCTACTCGATGTAACTCTATCCTAGCTATGCCCAGGCACCGCTCGCATTTTGATTGATTATTTTAGTTTTCGAACATAAATATTCAATAAAATATACATTTCTTAAGAGAGAATGGAACTGAGAAGGACCAAGACGATCGGAAGATTCAGAACTGTTTGACAGAGCTATTTTCCTCCGCCGGGGGTGTCATCGTTGTTGTTTTGAAAACAGGGTAGTAGGAGTCGAGTTCGAGCTGCTCCAAGATCTGTTTCGTCTTCCAAAGATACGAAGAGTGGCCTTCGACAATTTGCGTCACGTCAACCTGAGAAGTGAAATCGAAACTTCAAAACAATGTACCAACCGAAATTGCAAATGCGAAAGAAACTGGGAGGTTGGAGAACTTACATTTTCAATCCCAGGGACATCAACAGGTTGAATTCCACCTAAACCTTGAGAAAGTAAACTGTATACAGGAAACACTTAGTCCGATGGATTTATAACTTATGGCTTTTTTCGATATGATTAGAAAGAACACTTATGTACCACCCCTGGGCTCGGATATGCACAACGCTAAAGCCAAAGGATAAATGACCCGTACCTAGCACGAAAGGCGATTCCCAGTGTCCAATCATTTATAGAATAGGCATTCACGAATCTCCCGGCCACCATCTGTGAAGCAGAAATAGGTTCAGCCTTCAGTGTTAAAATGTAAGAACAGTAGCAGCACAACAAAACTTGCAAAGGAAACCAAATAACAGATGCAAAAAGGAAAGGACCAAAAAAAAAAAAAGAAGAGTTTTGAACTACCTTTCTAGCATCACTCCAATTTTCTTCTTCAACCGAAACTGGCGCTCCCAGAAGTACAACCCTTTCTACCAGACCAGCTATAGAAATGCATAAACCGGTTTCAATTATTTTTATTTATTATAGTGCTACTGTACTTGTCCACAATAGGATGAAACGGATTGTGATGATTACCGTTATCCCCTTCTGTTTCAGCCAAACATTGAAGACATTTGAAAATTACTCTGGCCCCCAGCGAGAATCCTATGAGCGTCACTGGCCTGGACCGCACACGGAGGATTATAAGTCAACTATGCACATGATGTTTAAGGGAAAGATGGACATGTCTTTTATAATATGAGATTCTTCTACCTGCCCCCTTGCAGTCCATTCAGCAGGACTTCAGCGAGCATCTTCCCAGCTTTGTCTGATCTGGCCAAGAAAAGGGAATGCTACAATTTCATATTTGTCATGCACTGCAAGTAATGAACACTCAAGATAGCGTTTCAAATACTTTAAAACTGAAACACCTCGGGAGCAAATTATGAGAACAAAACTTTCGCAATCAAAACATGAACGCAATGGAAACCAATATCTTTCCATTATCAATCCACGTAGAGTTCCTTCCAAACAAATGAAAATTACCTGTCCACTGCAACTGCCCATTTGCTATCTATAAGATCAGATGCCGTGACTAATGTTGTCGGCATAGCAAATGCTGCTAGAAGTGTGTTTAATACAGTTAACATGGCACCTTCTTTCATCAACTGTAATGCAATTCCTGTAACAGTATGCAACAATGTTGGTCGTGGACCCATAGATATGCCAAAAGTAAAAAAAAAAAAGAAAGTGATTGTACTTAAAACGTTAAGGACGCACGTGAAGTAAGCCAGTCTTGGATTGCAGTGCTCAATGCAATCAAATTCTTAGACTCCCACCAGAGTGCATACCTATGCATTCACTACATTAATATCAATTACTAAGCCAGTGATGATAATTCAGAACCTATGCGAGGCTTCTAAAATCGACAGAATTTCAAGTTAAATAGAAGGCATATCATCTTTTTCACCATACTACTTGGGGAAACACAATTTGCATTGCTTACCTTTCCAAATTTTCATTATGAGCTTCCCAAGGCCTTATAAAGTCTTCATCCTCGAAAACAAGTCCAGAAACCAATATTCCCACTGCTAGCCGCTGAAAAAGAGGTTTTCTGAAAAAGTCAGCAATGTCATTTATACAGAAAAGGTGGTGCTCAATATAAAGTGCAATTTGCCACTATAACATCAAGCCATAGAAATCCCTCAGAAACAGCTCACACCTCCCGGTCACCTCCCGGTCCCCACAAAAATAAAAATATGGATTTGTAAAATGTCAAAATGAACTCACCCCTTTCTCATAATTTCCAACGGTCCTAAACTCAAATTCTTCAATGTTGCCAGTTCTTCTAGCCATTTTACTCCCCGTAAGTCCAGCTCCAGCAGCTGAGATGCCGAAAGAGCGAGTAAGTATCCACTACATACTCTTTTTTCTCATTAGATTTGAAAGATTGGACCTATGGAGTATGGAATGGTGATCTTTTTGAATGTGCTTTCAAAATGACCACATGCTTGGTAAAAACCGAGGTTAAGTGTATTAATCTTTTGGAGGTTTAAGACTAATAATATTGTTGAATGAACAAGAGGGATTGTTGATTGTTGAGTGTAAAACTATGAGTCTCAACTCCATCCACCACTCTTCTATTTTCTGAATAAGTTAAAAATTGATGATTTGAATATACGGTACCATAACGAGAAAGCATCCATGTGTGCAGTTGTGTCAAAAGTAACCTGTCCTCTTAATTCACAGCTTTCTGTCAACCGCATGCCTTCCTAGTATTCATGTTCATCCCTCTTGTTATTAGCCAAGACTAGGTTTTTCTTCCAGTTACGTATATGATGTCATATTCATAAGTCTAACTAAGCACGAAAACGTTAGAAGAAAAAAAAAACCACTTTTGCACCTCCAAATGATGCAACAACAGCAACAGAACCAGTAACAGACCCAGTGGCAGTTGCAGCAGCAGCGAATCCACCTGCTCCAATTGCAGGGATAATACCACCCAATGTTGGAGCTAGAGCACCTAAACCCTGCGCAATTGCAGGAGCGACTAGGCCTGTGAAAAATAAAAGTCAACAACAAATTAAAGACTACTAGTTCTATCGCAAAAGGCGTGACATCTGCTTTTTTGAAGTTGACGGATTTCATACCACCAGTGATAGCCATCAAGGTTCCCCCTGTTAAAGCAGCTGCACCAATTAGACCTCCCCGCTTCATTTCCTCCCATGAGATTTCTGAAGTTTTTGTTTTGTTGTCATCAGTAACTTCTTTTGTTGAAGCCATAAAAGAACAAGCAACCATCACCTCCATGACTTCCTGCAGAGTAGAATTTTCCTCATAGATGGCTCAATATGCTTTTGTTTCGTTCTTTTGTCTTTCTTCTTATTATTTTTATTTATTCATTTGAAGCATAAAGAGTAGGTATTCATCAAATAGCAGACACTATTGTAGCCTTATTATTTTGATAGGATCAAGTAACAAAAAGAAAAAACAAGAAATGTTTTCAATAGACGGACCATTTTTCGCCATTCAACCCCAAGCCATGCTGCCAGCAACCGCAATGCTACACGGTGTCGAGCATCATAACCCTTCCTTACTTGAGAACACTTATCGCCATCTTCAATATTATCTACCACACAAGCTGAAAGAAGTGCATAAAGAAGTGTTATTTTCCTTTCGTAACTGAGCAGGTTTCCCTCTTCCACAGGTTCCTCTAGGGGTTCAGATACATTTAATGCTTTTTCTTCAGTGGATGTCTCGGAACTTGTCCTTGTTATAATCTCATAAGGCTTTGCCTCTACCTCAGACGGTGGTTTTGTCCCAGTAACTTCATATCTCTCGCGGCATTTAGCTTCATATTCAGCATTCACAGGTTTCTCTGCTGAAGAAGCAGGAGAGTCTTCCTCAGTAAGTACCATGGCATCAACGGTTTTTGTCAAAGCGCGTTCCTTGTCAGTTTTTTCCTCAGAAGGCACATCAGCTTCCTCCGAGAGTAATGTCAAGAACTGAAATAAAATAAAATTACCAAAGAGCTATCAAACCGAACAAGATATTACTAGAAAGTCATAAAGACACATAAATGGTGCAGCCAAGAATCAAATATGAGCCAAAAAGCAAATGATAATCCTCTCAAGCTCCAATGTGTCAAATATACTCATGTCGCTAAATTTCATATGACGAAGAAAAACGCACCGCTCCTACATGATGCCTAACTTGTGAAGAAGATCCTGCTGTTTCCTTTAGCCCCTTCCAGGATTGGTCATCCACTCCTAAAAATCTGAAATTCCAACCAAGGAATCATGAAGCTGGACGTGGACTCGCAGTAATGTTGAGGAAAGTAAAAATCCCACATCGGAAACTTGACAAAAGTCAAATAGAATATATGAGTGGTTCCACTCCTAACAAAACCTAAGCCAATTTATGATAAAACTCCAAAATCTGATGTGACGTAAATACATGTTCGGACAATATCGGTGTTATTATCAGTGTGCCAACACTCTGTTCCTATGAAACCTTTACGAAATCAAATGAGCATTTGATTTTTTTCCAATATAAAAATTGATAAAATTAATATTTTACTTAATTAATCAAAACTGCGATGAGAGGAATCCAACTTAGTGCATAAGGGGACCAATTAAATTGAAAGAAAGTACCTGAAAATGGGATAAAGCAAACCGGAATTCTCGTGGACCCAAAGGCCATCATTGTCCGAAACCGAAACGCTCTTACCGACGCTGGCACCTTCGCCGATGGTCTCTTCTTTCAGGGAAGGCAAAGGAGGAGTCGATTGGCGAGTCTGGTGGACCTGCGACTGGTGGAGCGCCAGAGCGAACAGAGCGCCCGCCGCGTACTTATGCGTCGGCGTCAGAATCAATGCCTCCTCCATTTTCGACGGCGGCGATTCCCCTTTCAAGCTCGCAGAGCATCGGAAAAGCAACTGGCTCGAATTTGCAGACCAAAACGGCAGTTTTGGTTTTATTAATCGATAAATTAACATCCAGTATTAGCAGATAATTAAATTAAGTAATTTTAAGGAAATTGATTGAAATTACACGAGACCGGTTCTTTATACTAGTGTTCCACCGCTTATTGCTCTTAACGACTAATTAATCACTTCGATAATTAAGATTAATAACAGTAATTAATGGACTTAAACTTATTAAAACTTTGCTGATTTGGAAAAATTTGCAGCGCGCTATCACCCGGCAACTCGACCGAGAGGCTCAGCCCTCAAGGCTGAGAACTTTTCAACGAGACACCGACTTTGCCGTAAAGGCTTCTTTTTCGCGGGACACGCGGTGGAGTGATGACTCCTGCGACCGACACGTGGCTTTCACGAGAGTCGTTTTGTTTTGTTTTTCATCAAAGGGGAGGGCCGGTGACCACGAATGGGCATAATTATCATGGGCTGAGAAACCATGGGTTTTCTTACTCAAAATGGACTAGTTTTTTAAAGCCCATTAGGTTAGCTGTTAAATGGGTTGGGTTTAGGCATACCCGTGGCCATGGGTAACATGTGGACCTTTTTTTTTTCTTTTTTTTTCCCTTTTTTTTTTTTTTTTTTGAGATATTCTATAGGTCGATTTAGGGCAGTTATCCTATTGAGTGAGATCGTGTAGGATCTAGAGGGATGGAGCAAAATCTAAGGGCTATATTATTGGTGTACTATCGGATGTGTCAAATGATATTTACATTTCATGCTAATTAGTGAATTTTTTTAATTTGATATTGGTTGTATTTATCATTTACTACATTATGTATTGCACTAATGTGGTACAAAATATGGTTTCTCTGACATTCCTTTATTATATTTATATTTATCTATTTGGTGTATTTATGAGATTTCTAATTTTATTGCATAATAAATTATTAGCTAACATGGAGTCGGAATCATGATTTTTTATTTATTTTTTAATTGGACCGCAAAGTCAATCTCATTCTAATATTGCTATTATGGGAAACGACTATGAGGATAATTTATCAATAAAAAAAATACAATATATCAAGGGGGGCATGAACCCAAACCCTGACCATTAATTAGAATTGATAACAAACAAGTTAAACCTCCTTTAGCAAAACCTATAACAGGAAAGTTGAGAAAGATTAGGAGAATAAGCAGCTACAACACAACACAAGGAGGGCATAAATCCCACCAATGAGGTTGAAGCATGATGATGTATATACATATATGAAACCCATGTGATGTATTAATTTAACAATACGAAATGTGATCTCTACGCATGCTTGCTAGTAGTGACACATATATACTTCTCCAAATTCCAGGCTTAAAGGCGAAGCAAAGGCAATAAGTATTGTATTGATCACATTGCAGGTGGACCTCGAAATTATACAATTGTGGTGGGAATGTGATCGTACTGCATGTTATTATTGTATATATATTGCTTGCAGATATATGTATATTGTTGTATATATATTGCTTAAGTTACATGACAAAAGTACAATTTAATTTAATCCAACTCTGTGAAGATATTGCAAATTAACTCAAAGCGATGGATTTGGATATGGAAATGATAATCACATGTCGTTTTTCTTGTTATACATGTCATTATTTTAAAATCATTAGATTGAATAAATCAAACGGATAATAAATACGTTTAAATAATGGTGTGTGGAAAAAAAAAATGTGTATGATTATCATTTCTCGTCAAATATTAAAAAAACTACTTATAAGGGGTCTTATGGATAAGCTAAGATAGAAATAACAGTACTGCTGTGTAGGATCGATTTACTGATCGAGAAGAGAGCAGTCTGATCAGACGAGCGTGCCACAAGTGGGGCGAGAGTGGGGACATTGGAGAAGGCTGTGAAGTGAAGCATGCATGTCGCTCAACTGCCATTTAACTTAATTTTTCCAGCCTATACTGTAAAAAGTTATAGATCCATATAGGTGGGGACAAAAGTGAGACACAAGGCACATTTCTGTTGAAATGAAGAGGAGCACGATTAGGGTTTTCTTAGAGATCTAGGGTCAAGTGGGGACAAGGTCTAGTTGTCAACAGCAAGACTTGTGAAAAAAAATTTAGAATACATCCGTAAATACATTACTAAATTTAACAGCTAAATTACGTAACCAGTTTATGCCTATATAAGGTACCACTGTTGACAATCGCCATGCTTCGTACGGCATATGCGCATCGATTTTCATTCTAACGTTCTAAAATTAATATACAAATGCATATGGCTGCAGTAGTGATGAGAAAGTTATGGGTCGTCTTGTTTATTGTGAAGGCGACTGTTGGTTCGGAAGCTGCCGGTAGTAAGTTAGAAAATGGCATGGCTAATAGTACTCATCACGAGCAAGGCAATAGTTCTTTTTTAGCTGTTGCTGAAATTCCTTCCGCAGGAATTAAAGGAGAAGTAAAGAACGTGACTACTTCCTACACCACTGAAGTTGATATCACCAACAAAAAGAAGCAACCTAATTGGATGTCCAGAGGAGGAGGAGGAGGAGGAGGGGGAGGCGGCGGTGGAGGTGGTAATGGGGTGGAGGTGGAGGTGGAGGTGGAGGCGGAGGCGGAGGAGGCTATGCATGGGGTTGGGGTGGTGGTGGCGGCGGAGGAGGTGGCGGAGGAGGAGGTAGAGGTGGAAAAGGAGGAGGTGGTGGGTGGGGATGGGGCGGAGGAGGAGGAGGGGCAGGGTGGTGGAAATGGGGTTGTGGTGGTGGAAAAGGAAAAGGCCGAGGAGGAAGAGGCGGCAGAAACAGTAACCATGTCTACAGCGGCCGGAAGAGGAGGTTCGACGAGGAAGAGTACGTGATGGGAGAGTATGCACAATGCATGCGGAAGGGGCAATGCAAAGGCATGAGATTGGATTGCCCTCTTCACTGCGGAGGGCCTTGCTTCTACGACTGCCAACACATGTGCAAGGCTCACTGCCGACGACGTCGTACTTGATCATCACTGGCAAATGCATTACTCTTGCTAATGTTTGATGTTTCCGAATTAATTAAGGCGCCATTAATTTCTAACAGTCACATTAATCCCGAAGCACATATTACCCCATTAGTCGACCGATCGATGATTAAGCAAGGCTGGATGAGATTAAGGGTTTATTATAGTTAGATTGTTCTCTATCTGTTGTTTTTGTTGTTTGTGCTTCCATTCGCCTTTTTTCTGTTTTTTTTCTTCTTTTCATTCAACCTTTTTTCGTTGTTCAATTTTATGTGCGCTACGTATATTCTGCATGCATGCATGCATGCAATGTTTTACGTGGTAATGACTCAAGAGAATATCGTTCAATTTATTATGTTTTTTTTATGTCAAATTACGGTCAGCTTTGACCGTACAAATAAGTGTAATGCTGGAGAGATTATCTATTTAAGTTATATTTTGCAAATCATATGACGTGATTGTTGATGTCGGTCCATTTGTTGAAGAGATAAATTTTATGTGCAACCAGTTCCATGATTTGCATAGAATGTCTAATAAGAAAGATATATACGTATGGAAACAAATGAAAGGAATATATAAACGGTCCAATTTAGTTTGTAAGAGGCACAAGCTGAGAATCGAACCAATCTAGGCCAAATTCGATCTATTTCATTTTTTTTGGGTAATGCTAGGCACACTAAATTTTTTAAACCAAATGATGTGGTTATAGTTTTGTAGATGATTGAATTAATAACTAAGTGTCAATTAACATGTTTATTTCTTATTAGTGACATATCATTTGGTTTAAAAACTTGATATCCCTAGCATTATCCCTTTCTTTTTTTGTTTACATGTTAATTTACCCCAACTTGCCATGCAGTTCTAGGCTGTTAGAGCGTCATGTTCTTCTCTTTAGACGCAAGTTCCAATCTTATTCACTATAAATTAAGAGGTAGTTTTAAAAAAAAAAACTAAAATCTTGTTTGATAACTACTTTTTTCAAAAAAAAAAATGAAAAATGAAAAAAAAAAACTGAAAGCTACGTCTTGAGTTTTCAAAATTTAACCTTGTGTTTTTACAACTGAAAATTGAAAACGAAATGGTTATCAAACTGCGTCTATATTAGACTTATTGTGTTTATGCGATCAAAGAGTTAAAATGGGCTTTCAACAAATTGAAACAAGATTGGGCCTAATAAGTGAGTTCAAAGCAGGGCTTCTTAAAGCTACGAGGCCTAACAAGCCCAATGGATCCGCATAAAATTGTTCGTTCTTTTATTTTATTTTTTTAAGTAAAAGAAAGAGAGCAAAGAACAGCTGTACATAGACTAATACAAAAAAAGAATAAAATGAATAGTAGAAGCAAGCGTTTAATTAAAGTTAAAGAAAGAAAGGTAATCGTACCACGACGGCGGCGACGTGGCGGTCAATTAACGGAAAATAACAGACAAATCAGCCTCTAGATGAAGTCTTGAAGCACAACTTTGAAAAATCGAGACTACCTACAGCTGAGCTGCAATGGAGGCAATCAGGAAGCTTAGAGATCAGGTCGCCAAGCAACAGCAGGTACTCTCTATCTCTCTCTCTCTCTCTCTCTCTCTTCGTGTTTGATGGAATTTACATCTGTTTCCGAATTTGTATTTCTGTATGGATTTTGATATGAACATAATCTGCGTTAATTGTGAGATTGTGAGATTGCTTATCAGATTTATGATTTTAAAGGTGTGCTATCAATCAATTTAGTTCCAATATAATAATAATGATTATAATTGTTGAACCGAAACGAATTGAATTGAATCGAATCGAGTTGAATTGAATTGAATCGAATCGAATTTCACTATTTCTGAGCTGTTTGGGGATGTGTTGGAGTGTACTGTTGGTGAATTTGTAAAATTTTGAACCAGGCGTGGCTGATTACTTAATCATTTTTCAGGATGTAATGAAATGCTTAATTTTTACGTTTTCCGAAAACTTAAAGCGGAAATGACATCTAATTCAACGTTTTATGCTTCATTGATGCGTAGCTCGAAGGTTTATCGAATTTGCTTTTGATTTATTGTAACACTGTCAGGCTGTATTCAAACAATTTTCTGGTGGCATATTTGGGGGATCGGATAATGTTGCCGCAGATGAAAATGAACAGCATCAGAAAATCGAGAAGTTGTACATATCAACTCGTTCTGCCAAGGTTGCTACTCATTTCTGTCTGTTCATTCAGTTATTATGACATCACAATACTTTTGTTACCTGTATCTTAATCTACTTTGTTTTATTTAACAGCATTACCAAAAGGAAATTGTCCGTGGTGTGGAAGGTTATGTTGTTGCCGGTTCAAAGCAAGTTGAAATAGGTGCGTTGCTTGATATGCGTTGTCCTTTTTTTTGGGAGTTTGGATATGAATTCGTGTGAGTTTTATCAGTTAGTTTACATAACACTATTTCAACAGGTACCAAATTATCAGAAGATAGCAGGAAATATGGTGCTGAAAAAACTTGCACCAGTGGTAACACATTGTCGAGAGCTGCACTGAGTTTTGGAAGAGCTCGTGCCCAAATGGAAAAGGAGCGTGGAGTTCTACTGAGAGCTCTTGGCACACAGGTTTAAGTCATATTATTACTATGACGCATTAAGTGAAACCAAATGCAATATATTGCAGGGCCGATTTCGTAAAAATGAAATTTCAACTGACAAATTTTGTGTCCATTTGATTATTTCGAAATAAATTTACAGAAAAAATTGTTTCCATTTCCTCGCAGTGGTTCAAGAACTGGACTACTATTCTGTGTTTTTATGCATCATATGATAAAATGGTTCACCATTTCTTTCTATAGGTTTACGTAGTAACTGTTTCTGTGGTTATCAATTTGCCTGTCTAGGTTGCAGAGCCTTTGAGAGCAATGGTAGTAGGAGCGCCCTTGGAGGATGCTCGACATCTTGCTCAACGATATGCTAGAATGCGGCAAGATGCTGAAGCTCAGGTATGTGCAGTTTCTTCAGTTTTTACCAATGTTTTACTACATTGATATATATATATATGGAATATGAAAAATCTTAAGATGTTTTTAACATAAACGAGTTGAGAAGCTTTTTTTCGTTTGGTAACTTGGAACTTGTTTTTTTCACTCCATGAGCTTTTGTCTATGTATACTGACTTGCACCTGGATAGGCTATAGATGTTTCCAGACGCCAAGCCAAAGTACGGGAATCTGCAGTTAATGCTGATATTATCATGAAACTAGAAGCTGCTGAAGCCAAGCTTCAGGAGCTACAGTATAACGTTGCAATATTGGGAAAAGAAGCTGGTGCAGCAATGGCTGCTGTTGAAGGTCAACAACAAAGATTGACTCTTCAGCGTCTTCTTGTGATGGTAAAGCATTTCCCTTCCCTTCCTGTTGAAGCATTGAGGCTTTGGCCTGTTCTAGTTACAAGATTGAAAGAAAATTAATTTTGTAAGTTTGTCAATTTCCATCTCCATTCAAGGTTGAAGCAGAGCGCAATTATCATCAGAACGTTCTTCAGATACTTGATCAGCTTGAAGGCGAGGTATGAAATGTCCTGGAATCTTCCTTATCGGCAAGACAATTTTTCCAATTCATTAGGTTGTATATCATTCTAGTCTCTTGCAACATTAAGCAGTGATGAGTGACACTATTCGTTGGGACAGATGTTGTCAGAAAACCAGCAAATTGAAGCATCGCCTAGTCCAGCTACAGAGAACTCTATGCCTCCACCACCATCGTATGAGGATCTCGGACATAGCTTTGCTTCTGAAGCCTATGATGAATTGACAGACACGAGGGACTATTTCTTAGGAGAGGTAACTTTATGCTATATGTGGTTGTAGCTAAGTTTTCGTATGTTGGACTCTTTAGTTTCTACTAATTGCTCCTTTTCGCCTACTGCAGGTTATGTACACGTTTCAAGCTGTAACTGATGTGGAGTTAAGCTTGTCTTTTGGGGATTATGTCGTTGTCCGGAAGGTTCTGCCATCTTTCCTGCTTTATGCTGTCATGTTATATTCATGCTCGGATTTATTTCTCTCGTATTTATGTTAATTGTTCATGCTCTTGAGCAGGTATCAAACAATGGTTGGGCTGAAGGTGAATGCAAGGGAAAAGCCGGTTGGTTCCCATTTAATTACATCGAAATGCGGGACCGTGCGCTTGCTAGCAAGGTGGCTGCAGTCTTTTAAATATTTTGGTTTCCTGTTTAGTTGGCTTGTGTTTGTGTTTCTGCTCTGAGAGTCTACCTAGTACCGCATGGATATTAAATTGAGAAATTAGGTTATCATCCCTTATTTTTCTATTTCATTGATCCAAATAGTATGTTTGAGACTTCTTTTTTTTTCGAGACATAGTTTGTTTAAGATCAAGGTTCTAAAAAACGCTAGGCGCTAGTCGGGTGGTGGACTAGTGCCTAGGCAGATTTACATAAATTTACACTGTATATATTATAAAATATGAGTATGTGTGTATAATTTTAGGACTTTTTTTTTTCTAATTTTATACGAAAAATATTGGGCCTAGTTTGTTTTTTCTTTTAACAAAATAATGGGCCACAAAATGGACCCAACTTGAAAGAAAAGCTCTCTTTTTTTTCAATTAAACCGACAGCTTTTCCGGTTTCTCCAATACTAGTCCTAATCAACCATCACTTGTTTAGTGGCTCGAGGCTTGCATTTATTATCAACAAATATCCTCTACTTTCTCTCTCTGCAGAGAGATCCCCTTCTCTCTCTTTAGTCTTTTTTTTTGTCTGACTCTTTCTTTAGTCTTTAGTTATGCCTTTCTTTTCCTCCCATTTTCAGTTTTTCTTTCAACTCTCTCTCTCTCTCTCTCTCTCTCTCTCTCTCTTCTCTTCAACAGAACAGACGGATCTCTTCAACAGATCCCGTTCTCTCTCTACAGTAAAACCCAACGGACATATTATGTGTATTGTTCATCCCCGTATATTCTCAATCTACTTGGGTTCATCGATTGATGTTGGGTGCAAGAGCGTAGATTTGAAGATTTGGGTTGTGGGTTGTGGATCGTGCGAATGCGAGGGGAGATTTGCGAAGCATCGACCGCCGCCTAGCATTGCCTAGGCCGCCTTGAGCGCCTAGAGACGCCTAGGCAGCCTCCTAAATCCTTCCCGCCTTACCTGAACAATTTAGCCCAAATTGGATCGAGACTCCACCGTCGAGCGCCTAGGCCGATTTTTAAAATACTGTTTAAGATTTAGTTTTATTTGTTTAGTGATCTTAATAGGAAGAAATAATTGACCAAAAAATTCTCACATTAAATAAATTAAATAAATGGATTAATCACAGTTTACTACTAGGAAGTTTGTTAATTTTCAATATTTCATACATCAAGTATCTCAGTTTGATACTTGAAATTATAATTATAGGACACTTTCATACTTCTGTAAGTTTGACAGTTAAATTTTCTGTTAATCGATGACGTGATATCTAAATGGATAATGACCGGATCCCATGTCAATTTATGCCCACGTAGACATTAAAAAATTAAAAATAAAAAATTAAAAAAACTAAAAAAAAATTAAAAAAAAAACAAAAACAAAAATAACTCTAATTTCTAGCTAAATCCCACGAAACTAACACTAAAATCGAACCGCCGAGCAATCAGGCACCTGCAATTGCTTCAACATTGAACTCAAGAAACAAATTTACAGAGGTAGAGAGAAAGGGCAATTTCTAGGGTTAGGGTTTTGAGATTTACGATTGAGAGAGAGATGAGTGAGAGACTAAGCGGCACCAACAAGTGATTCAACGGCCAGAAGGGGGTCGGCTTCATTACCCCCAACGACGGCGGAGAGCATCTGTTCGTCAGTCCTCGATCCGATTCGAAGGTTTCCGCACTCTCGGAGTAGGTGAGACGGTCGACTACACCGTCGAGGAGGATGTCGGTGGCCGAGGAGGCGGTGGGTATGGAGGAGGGTTTGAAGGATTTGGGGGAGGCTATGGAGGAGTATTTGAAGGATTTGAAGGACTTGAGGGAGGCTATGGAGGAGGATTTGAACGAATTGCGGATCTCGGCGCGGGAGAGGAAGCTCTGCATCTCCGATTCGAAATGCCTGGGCTCCGGAAGGAGGACATGAAGGTTGGTTTGAGGATTTGTTGTTGAGTGTGGTTCAGCAAGTCCTGTTATTATCTACATGGTCATCGGTTAACAGAAAAGTTAACGGTCAAACTCACGTAAGTATGAAACTGTCTTAAAATTACAACTTCAGGTATCAGATTAGGATAAAAAAATACTTGATGTATGAAATGTTGAAATATAAGAAATTTAAAAATAGTAAACTAAAATTAACCCTAAATCAATTTATTTATGCGGATTGTTTGACTTTTTCATATTTCATTTGAGTTTTTCTCAGACTCTATGCCTTTTTCTACCATAAACGTTGTGCGTGACTCTTAGTAATTTATTGATCTAATTAGTAAATTCTGAACACAAAGTGTATGTCTTTTTACATTAAGGAAAACTAATGAAAAATGCTTGAAAACTTTAAGTTTTAACGATAAAGACAAAATAAAAGGTAAAATAAATAGTATCAGGATTTAGACCTGTAAATGGGTTGGGTTTATTGGATTTGGGTCGGGTTGAACCCGATCCGTTAAGTTAACGGGTCATCCGAATCCGACCCATTAAGCTAACGGGTCACTCGTTTCATCCGTTAACAATTATTATTATTATTATTTTTTTTTTGCATAGAGTTTATTTTTTGTTGTTAAGAATTGACTAAAATTACTAAAACATCCTCAACTAATTGGTCTAACGGGTTAACCCGAAGCGACCCGTTATTTAACGGGTTCATCCGTTAGCGACCCGACCCGTTAAGCATCCATCCAAATACTAATATTAACGGGTCAGGTTAATGGATCGGGTCCAAAATGCTAGGTCTACCAGGATTGACTTTTTAGTATAAAAATGTGATTTTTTGTTAAAGTAAACAGTACATTCCCTTTACATTAATCAACATATGCTTACAAATTAACAGATAGTAATTTATAGGTTTGAATGAAAAAACCAACGCATAATGATATATAGTTATATTAACAAGGCATGATATCTATTACTTAATCAACATATGCTTACAAACTGACGGATAGTAATTTATAGGTTTGAATGAAAAAACCAACGGATAATGATACATAGTTATATTAACAGTGCATGATATCTATTACTTGGTACTACGGTCTAATAATATTTCTTTGCACTTGTAAGTAAGAGGTTTAGGTTCGATTCTCGCTAAAAACGAATTTAAACCATATTATTACTTGTCCATCGTGAAACTTAACTTACTTCTTCTCACTAAAATACTAAAATGTAGATATCAATAGCAATTGCAACGGGTTCTCCCCATCTGATTAGAGGTAGGAAGTTGTGAGATACCGGCAGTTCCACTTTGGGGGTATTCGTTACCTTCTAGTGGAGGTTGTCAGACGGATAATGCGGTGGAAATCATTTTCAAAGGTGATGGCGGCGAGAATGCGGACATGGCAAAGTTGTGGGAACTCCAAACAAGATAATGAGGTCCAACAGCAGAATGCGAAGCAATTTGTTCACCAGCCGCAGAACGCAAAAAAATAAAGCTAAAGTTATGGGAAGTAGATCGAGCGCAATTTGTGGCAGATCGATCAAAAGGTGCAGATTCAATGATCAATCCATGTTGAATTGCTATCAAAGGTGGACTCCAAGTCTACGCGTATCCACTGGGCAACGTGAGAGAGAAGATGAGTGAGAAGGAAGAGGAGGAGTTACAGAGAAAGAGAAAGAAGAGAGGAGAGAATATGGGAGAAAAGAATTGCTGTCAAAGGTGGACTTCAAGTCTTCAAGTCTCCGTGTATCCATTGGGCGACGTGAGAAAGAAGAGGCGGAGTTACACGCCATCTCATTGTCGTGGCAGCATTGGAGTTGGTGTTTGCTGCAGTGGTTTGCAGTTATTGGTATACTATACTTTGCATACTCCACTGAGTCCTCTCTCTCTCACACACAGAAAACAAAAGAAAAAGAAAGAGAGTATTCTGCTCCCTTTGTTTGAAAATTAGCTTGCTATATCATAGATATGAACTCAGTAAAGCATTGATATTTTAGTAATGGAATTAAGTGAAATGAGGGTCAGAAACCAAATACACTAGAGCAGCTTCCGTAATACAGTACACCATTTAATACAACATTGGTGCTATAGATACATTATTTTGCAGAGAGAAATTTACACATGACATTATGTTATTTAAACGTTACAATTATGATGTACTCGTGTCATATAAATCTTTATTCGTAGTAGGATCAAAAACTTATGATTAGAATGGATCAAAAACTAAAAGAGATTGTTGACCCAAGTTTTCAACTTTACACTTACAAGATGTTGAAATAAGCATAATCTTAGTATTCACCGAACCCCTAAGAACGAGAATGGCCAAAACATGTTTAACAAAATAGCACAAGTAGACAAACAAATCATTCCAACACAATCCAACAAAAACAGTTTAGTTTAATACATGATGATGTGACCGAAAAATTTAAAAGACCAAATCAAAATCACTTGGCAGAAAATACAGTTATCAAAATAAATTAGCTAGGAAACTATGGCAGTCTGTTTTTCCGCCCTTTTTCTTTTTTCTGACAGCGGCGGCAGTCCAACTCTAGGCAATGGCGTTGGCCAACATGGAATCACATATGTCCAGACGTCTTTCCAAGGCCAAAAATCACATGTGGTACGAGCATGCATTTGATTTTCAGATTTCTCTAATGTTCTTGCTTGAAAGTTGCACTTGATTATGTATCCACCCATCTCCAAGTATAAAATATCACCAGCATTGGGGTCCACTGCTAGCACCCGAATCTTGTAGCGCAACCTTATACAATCGTTGATGAAATCATATTTCCTCACATCCATTTCGTCCAAGGAAGCCTTGTGTATCAAACACCATTTAACTCTTCCTCCTCCGGCTGCCTCATCTTCTTTCAACTCCGAAACACATACAATGAGAGGGCGACCGTCATGATAGGGATTACGAACTGTTTCCGGTGGCATCCACGTCTGCAATTGGAACATCCGCAGGCGTCCTCGGCAAACCCCTAGACACGCAACCGTTGTTGTATGGTCCAAAGGCTCATCAAACTGAATGAAGCTACACCCATAGTTACTGCTGCTGGGTGCAAACGGATCAAACCCGATAACGCCACCGTAACTCGGCCAATACAACATGCCGTTGTAAGCAATGCCTGGACGGTTGAAAGTGAAACCAAAACTAATACTTTGTTGTGGACATGATACAACTGATTCTCTCCATTCACCAGTTTCTGAAGAGAATATGTCCACCTTAAATTGAGATAAATTGTCTCCAAGTTGAATAATTCGTACAACCCTGCACCGATACTCGTCATTGATGGTTATACTAGTACTAGTACCGCCACCACTAACTTGTTCTTGGCTGGCATAGTAGAATGGCAGATGAATCCCACTTGTGCGATCTTGTGGCGTGGAGGGGCGGGAGGAAGAGCAAGACATTGCATGGAGTTAGGATTACATATGTAGTATTTATGTGGATCATCCTTGGTCAGGCAGCACAAAACCAAGTCATTATACATGGCCACCACTAGCTTCTCTTTTACGTCTTCAAACGGCGGGATGAAGTGAAGAGCTATAATGCTTGTTTTCCAAAGCAGAGCATCGGAGACGGCAAGACGATAGGTGAAACCGGCAGGGGAAGGTTTAGCGGTAGGGGTCGAGAACAAGAGAGTACGCAGCAGCGCAATGGGTTTGTTCTTATCAATTTGCATGCAAAGAAAGCGGCCAGCAAAATAAGAATCAGAGATGAGAGCCAACCACCGCTTGCACACACGCTTATTTAGACGAGCGTATTTGTATGGAAGTCGGCAAAGGATTTCGACCAATACGCCATCAGGCAGATCATTGATGAGGAATTTTGATGACAACTGCTCATCAGATTCAGAAGCAGAAGATCCCATGGCCGCAGGAATCGGACGACCAACTGCAATTAAAAATTCTAAAATTCTAATACGCAATCCAACACCGAATATCTCCTACTTATATACACCGATTCCGAAGCCTAATACAAGTAGGAAATCATTTTCAGGTAGGAAATAAAAATCCGATAAAATTCAAATTAGAATATAGGAAACTAACTCACCTGCTTGGTGTCTTCGCCGCTGTGAACAAAATGGGTCGAGAGAGAGGTTGTCGGCGATGATGGGTGTGACCGGGAGATGGGGCTCCGGCTGCAACATCGATCGGGTTTATGCCATCCACCGTTCATGCGTTGTCAACAAAATCCATATTGCTTTTGCATGAGATCGACGACGGTGATTGAAGAAAGGATAGGGTCTTGGAGAGAGTGAGTTACAGAGAGACAGGATGAAGCGCGGGGCAGAGAGAGGGAGGCGGTCAGGCAGAGGAGGAGGGGATTAAAAAAAACCGCACTTCAGAATTTCAATGTTGTTAGAAACCTATTCTTCAAAAGGTAATGTTTTTCGTTGTACGGCATTCTTTGCCGCTTCATTGGAGAAGGAAAAGTAGAATGGCCAAAACATGTTTAACAAATAGCACAAGTACACAAACAAATCATTCCTGTACAACTCTAGGCAATGGCGTTGGCCAACATGGAATCACATATGTCCAGACGTCTCTCCAAGGCCAAAAATCAAAAGTGTTACGACCATACCTTTGACCTCTAGGTTTCTCTAAAGTTCTTGCTTGAATGTTGCATTTGATTATGTATCCACCCATCTCCAAGTATAAAATATCCCCATCATTCGGGTCCACTGCTAGCACCCGAAACTTGTAGCGCAATCTTATACAATCGTTGAGGAAATCATGTTTCCCCACATCCATTTCGTCCAAGGAAGTCTTGTGTATCAAACACCATTTGACTATTCCTCCTCCGGCTGCCTCATCTTCTTTCAACTCCGAAACACATACAATGAGAGGGCGACCATCATTATAGGGATTAGAAAGTGTTTCTGGTGTCATCCACGTCTGTAATTGGCACATCCGCAGGCGCCCTCGGCAAATCCCTAGACACGCAACCGTTTTTGTACAGTCCAAAGGCTCATCAAACTCAATGAACTGACACCCATAGTTACTGCTGTGCGGTGCAAACGGATCAAACCCGATAACACCACCATATTGTAAGCAATGCCTGGACGGCTGAAGGTGAAACCAAAACTAATACTTTGTTGTGGACATGATACAACTGATTCTCTCCATTCACCAGTTTCTGAAGAGAAGATGTCCACCTTAAATAGAGATAAATAGTTTCCAAGTTGAATAATTCGCACAACCCTGCACCGATACTCATCATTGGTGGTTATACTAGTGCCAGTACCGCCACCATTATCTTGTTCTTGGCTGGCATAGTAGGTATCGCAGATGAATCCCACTTGTGCGATCTTGTGTTGTGGAGGGGCGGGAGGAAGGGCAACACATTGCTTGGCGTTTGGATTACATATGTAGTATTTATGTGGATCCTCCTTGGTCAGGCAGCACAAAACTAAGTCATTATACGTGGCCACCACTAGCCTTTCTTTTATGCCCTCAAACCGCGGAGTGAAGAGCTACAATGCTTGTTTTCCAAAGCAGAGCATCGAAGATGATATGACGAAAGGTGAAACCGGCAGGGGAAGGTTTGGCGGTACGGTTCGAGAACAAGAGAGTACGCAGCAGCGTAATGGGTTTGTTCTTATCAATTTGCATGCATAGAAAGCGGCCAGCAAAATAAGAATCAGAGATGAGAGCCAACCACCGCTTGCACACACGCTTATTTCGACGAGCGTATTTGTAAGGAAGTCGGCAAAGGATTTCAACCAATACGCCATCAGGCAGATCATTGATGATATTGATGAGGAATTTTGATGGCAACTGCTCATCAGATTCAGAAGATCCCATGGCCGCAGGAATCGGACGACCAACTGCAATTCTAATATGCAACCCAACACTGAATCTCTCCTACTTAGGTCATCTCCAACCGAAGGGTCTGGAGGGCCAGAGGGCTGAAAATAGCCCGAAAATCGTCTTCAACCGAGGGCTAGGCCAGAGGGCTGTGAAATCTGAGAGGGCCTCACGGAATCGGAGAGGGCTATAGGGCTGGAGGGTTGGCCAGAAAATTCAGTTTTCCTGTCAGTTATAACCGACAGGAATGCTTAAGAAAAAAAATTCAAATGCAATGCCTAGCTAACGTCAGCTAACCGTTGCATTTGAAATTTTTTTTTTTTTTGCAAAATTTTTCCTATAATTTTTTTTAAAATATTTTTTTTAAATTCTATTTTTTTCCTATAACTTTTATTTTACAAAATTTGTTTCATTTTTTTTTAAATTCCATTTTTTCCTATAACTTCTATTTCACAAAATTGCTTTATTTTATTTTAAATTCTATTTTTATCCTATAACTTCTATTTCACAAAATTTGTTTCATATTTTTTTAAATTATATTTTTTTCCTATAACTTCCTAAGCCATCATACAACATTAAATTAAATTAAGTAACATGAAACAACATTAAACAATATGAAATAATATTAAATAACATTAACCAACATACAAATTATACAACATAAAAAAAAACATTTAACAACATAAAACTTAAACGCCTACTTCATGCTTCTTTTGGCCCAAAGATGTGCAACAAGATCATGTTGTAGATACTTGTTTGTGGCATGAGAACGTATCATTCTAACGCCTCATGTACTTATTTATTGAGATACTACCAGTTCTTGGATTGAAAGGCAAATTAGGCCTATCATATATTTTTGCACGAGCCCTTCTTGACCTATTTGGATCTTTTTGGTCGTCATCGGACTCTCCATCAATATACCCATCTCGCTCATCCTCCACTATCATATTGTGTAATATGATGCAAGACATCATGATGGAGTCCAAATTTTCTCGACTACACCCTCTTGCCGATTCTCTAATAATCTTCCACCGTGCTTGTAGAATACCGAAAGCTCTCTCAACATCTTTCCGGTATGCCTCTTGGTGTAAGGTAAACAACTTTTCTGCGTCATTCCTAGGGTTTGGAATTGCTTGGACAAGTGTTGCCCACTTTGGGTAGATGTCATCTGCCAAGTAATACCCCATATTGTATTGACGGTTGTTGATGTAGTAGTGAAGTTGAGGTACTTTACCTTCCGTCAAGTTATTGAAGAGGGGTGAACGCCCAAGAACTGTAATGTCATTTTGGGATTCAGGGACTCCAAAGAAAGCATACCAAATCCATGTGTCATATGAGGCAACCGCCTCTAACACAATAGTTGGCTTTCTCGACCTTCCACTAAAGCCTCATTGCCATCCGGTGGGACAGTTTTTCCAATCCCAATGCATGCGGTCTAATGACCCTATCATGCTTGGAAACCCACAGTCTTCAACTTTGCGAAGGAGCCGATTCAAATCTTCTTGATTTGGCTCGCGGAAGTACTCGTCTTTGTAAACTTGAATAATTGTGTCACAAAATTGTTGAAGAGTATCAAGGAATGTAGACTCAGACATATCATGGGTTTCATCCATCGAATCAGCTGGGGAGCCATAGGCTATCATTCGAAGTGAAACAGTAACCTTCTGATGAGGTGAGAAATCAGGGTAGCTTGCTCTGTCCCGCTTCTGTTGAAAGTATGGATTGACTTGCTGGACATCACGAAGTAAACGCTCGAAGACATAACACCTCATCCGGAAGTGACGTCTGAAATCCTCTTCTGTGTACACCGAGTTGGGGTTGAAGTAGTTGTTCATCAGATTGACATGCATCATCGTTCTGTTTCGTGGTTTGTAAAAGCGACCAGCAATAGAGCCACCCCATTGAGGTTGTTCCTCAGTTGGCTGACACACCATGGCCGCAGCCATGGCTGCTGCTATGTTTTGTTTGTTGCACCTTACTTGAACTTCTTCATCAGACTCCTCATCTTCTCGTCTCATTTGCGCCCATTTTTCTTCCAATTTGGAATTGGATGAGGACCCCCAGTTGGAATCCGAAAAGGATCCAAAGTTGGAATTCATTGCAAACTTGAATTGAAAAAGATTGAATTGAAATAGATTGAATTCAAAGTTGTGTGAATTATAGCCCAATATCCACCCTATTTATAGCAAAAGAAAAATTCAAATCCAATGGTTAGCTGACGTCATGCTGACGTCACTTAGCCATTGGATTTGAATTTAAGTTGTAGTTTTTAAATAATAAATTATGTTTAGCCCTCGGTTAGAGACGATTTTTTGTGGTAAGGCTAAAACAAGCCCTCTGGCCCTCGGTTGGAGACGGAGACAAATATGGCCCTGTATTGTTCATTAAAATATTAATATCTTGGAGAATCTTGGAGGGCCAGAGGGCTAAAACGAGCCATCTGGCCAGCCCTCGGTTGGAGATGACCTTATATGCAGCGAATTTGAAACCTAATAGAAATAGGAAATCTAGAAAAGTTCTAATAAGAATCCAACAGTGAATATGTCCTACTTATTTATATTCGTTTTAGTAATTTTCATTAAATCTGACCAAAATATATAAAAGAGGGGGTTGTATTCAGTCAGGATTTTAAGTGATTCCCTAAAATTCAAGTGTATTCAATTAGAATTTTAAGATAATTTATTAAAAACCTTAGAAATCCGGATGTATTCAATTAGGATTTTAAAAAAGTCTATAGCATTCATGTGTATTCAATTAAAATTTGATTTTAAAGAATTTGATAAAGTTGAGGAATCAAATGGAATTGGAGAGATTTCATACTGTATTTTAAGCATCCACAAATCTCATCTCTCCTCATGAGATTTCGAGAGAATTGAATCAAAATTTTATATGAAATCTCTACAAATCAATTAAACTCCATAAAAATCCATGGATTTATAAATCCATTAAAGTCTCTCAAATTCTCAATTGAATACACCTCCAAAATATATATGAGAAATTACATGTGGCAGAAAATGAGACGTCTTCATTGAGGCCCACGGACAACTGTTTGTATAAAATGGTGCCAACAAGGTGAGACACGAGAGCAACGACATTTATTATTAGGGATGTGATATCCACACACCTTATTTTACTTCTCACATATCTTTTCAATTTTCGGCCGTCGGATTAGATGAATTGAAGAAGATCAACGAACAAAAATTATCAAGAGTATGTGAGAAGTAAAATGAGGTGTGTGGATAACGCATCCCTATTATTAAACTAACTCCAGCGGAATTACAAAATCCCTCTTTCTTCCGCTTTTGTTAATTTATTTCTTGCCAATATTATCCTCGTTTCCAAAGATTTCCATATGCATCTCATCGTATGTTTGTAATTTTTTAACTAATACATAAAATAATGAAAACGAAAAATGTTATTCCGTTCTTCAGAGTCAAATCCAACATCTTGACAACCCAATTAAATTTTTCTTCGACGGATGTAGATGCTTAACAAGAGTGAAAAAAGGGAGTTCGTGGATAGTCGAACTTGATATCTTGATTAAAAAGTGAACCACCGGTTTAAAAAGTTGAGCACCGTCAAATAAGCATGTGATGCAAATAGGGCCATAGTTGTATAAATTGACTGGGAATTTGTACACAATTTAAACACGTACGCCCAATTTTTCAAGATGCGACTGTGCTAGTAGGGTTAGGATTTGGGTGGTGGGTAAAGTTTGAGATTACTAGCTTCGCGACATGAAATCCAAATTATCCTACCCAAAAGGATTTTAAATTTTAATACATGCTTAAAATCTCTGAGACAATTAACTGGACCCCACAGCAAAATTACACCATGTGCTAGGGTTTCTTCCCTCATTTCCGCATTCACACTTCACATCGATGTTAACCACACTAGGTAAAAAGAAGAAATTTATTTATTTTTTAAAAACCATGTGTTGTGGGTCCACCAAGGGGGCGTTTGTTTGACCGGATTAAAGGGGACTGGACTAGACTAGACTGTAGTCCCTTGTTTGGTCTGGACAAGGATTAGGTTTAATGGGACTAAAGGGGACTCGCCCCGACTGAACGTTTCGCTAAACGTTCTTAAGGAGACCCCTCGATTTCAAGCGGACTGCTAGTCCCGTTCTCTCCCCCGCCACTGATCCCTCGTCGTCTCCCTTCTCCTTCGCCCTCTCCCTTCTGATCTGCACCTTTGCCCACTCCCTTAGGCCTTCACTATGCCACCCAAACGCCTAAACCCAGACCTTAAACAAAACTGAAAAACAATCCATTGATTCCCTTCCTTTCTTCTTCGTTCAAGTCGGGACCGAAAGCGTACCAAATGCTCAAGCACCTGCAAATCCCCACATAAATTCAAAACAAAAAGGCAAAATCACCAGAGAATCCTGAGATTTTTCGAGAAAATCAGGAGGCGCTGCGTGGAGAGCTCCGATGAATCCTCCATGCGAATCTTCTGCATAAGGAAAAGAGGGAGAGGTTAGGGATAAAGTGGACGAAGGGAAAAAAAGGAGAGGGGAAGGAGAGAGTTGCCGGAAGAAAATAGGGAGAAGTTGCAGAGAGAGGAAGAATATTTTGGAAAAATGGAGAAACAGAACAAAAAGAGGGAGATGAGAAGGAGAATGGCGGAGGAAAAGAGGAATAGGGTAGAGAGAGATAATTTTAGGAATAAATAAATACAAAGATTTTGGCCCTTACAGAAGAACATATGATTCTAGAAACAAATAAAATGATAAATTAATAATAAAATATTAATAAATATAGATAAAATAATATAATATTTGAGTTAGATAATTATCCAACTTATTAGTCCGACACTGCACCAAACGCTTCACTAAACTAGTCCAGCTTAATCTAGTCTAAGCCAGTCCAGCTTAATCCCTGAAGCTAATCTAGTCCGAGACAGTCCGGTGCAACTAACGCACCCCAAGAGTTTTATATTTGGACTACCAGTCAAACGGGATCTTCATGCATGGAATCGGATTCAAATGAATTGAGCCCATTAATCAATGTATCCGAATTATTAAAATTTGATCAAACGGTTAAAAATATAAAGTCTCTCTAAAATTTATAATAATTGTAACCGTTGGAACAAATTTCAATGATCCGGATTCATTAATTAGTAAGCTCAATTCCCTTGGATTCGGAGGGGATCCAGTTCCTTCATGCATGACTAAACTTCTTGTTCTTTCCTTTGTAACTCGCCATGAAAGGTGGCTGAGATATCAGTTCCCTTGGTATAATGTATGCCAAGTCCAAAGGTTTTAATTATACCAAGTGTTAGATTGACATAGCCAAGATCCAGATTAAAGCCACAATAAACACAATCAAGAAAACACAAAACTGTATAGACATGAACAATCATATTCACACTAACCTGATGAACCTCCATTGGAGAATGCCATTGCAGCAGATGTCCAGATTCTGTATGCTGCTACTCTTCTCCTCTCTGGTAGAACTCTTAATGCTCTAACTAAGAATAGGACTTAGTTCTTTTCTGAGCGTGTGTTACCGAGAGCAGAGATTACAGCATATATATATACATATACCTCTCCTAATCCAATGAGGATTTCCTATTACAATCCACTTAGGAAACAACTCATGTTTCCTAGTTTATATCAGTTCTTCTCCATGACAGATTCCTCTATCAACAAGAACTTACATTCATCTTCCTATAAGGCTTTCTTATATTAATCGGACCAAATAGCTGATGCTAGTTCACCAAAATACTCATGTTCATATTCCTACATTCTCCCACTTGAACATGAGACATTGAACGAGCATAGCCTTTACCAATTATAAGAAGTGATCACATAGCCTTATTCAAGATTTTATCATCATGACCAATGTCCCATTGCATTTCAAAACACAGAAGCCAAGAATCTCAGATTGCTATCCAAAACAATCATTGATTCAAGACTCACATGTATCCAATCTGCAATTATGACTCATGATTAACAATACCAATCCAGAATATGCTCCCACTTTTCAAAAGATTACAATATATATCAATCTTCAATGAAAACAGCATTTCAATAACTGAATAAAATTCATGAAACATACAACTTTTAAAAACAAACAAATTGTTCTTGCAAAGCATCATATGAATTTAACAAGTCTGTCATTAAAACCTCAGCACTCCAAAACGGAAGCCTCAAGTTTCGAAACAAAGACTCTTATTAAAACATAAAACAATCTAACAAAATATCTCAGTATGCTAGATCATAACAAAATGTAAACACAGTCCCAAACTGAATTACTCACATAGCAGCAACCTTCAATGTTTCTGAAACAGATCAATTACTCCCACTGATCTAAAGTTTCCAACACTCTCATCCGAGATACATGTTTCTGAAATTCTCCAATGGGGAGCGCTTTAGTCAAAGGGTCTGCAACCATTAAAACAGTGCTGATGTGCTGAACTTCAATCATCCCATTCTTCACTTCCTCTCTTACTTTAAGGAATTTTACATCCATTAACCTTGAGGCAGAAGTTCTTCTATTATTCTTTGCAAAGAACACAGCAGAGTTATTATCACAAAACATCCTTACTGGTTTCTGAATTGATTTCACAATTTTTAAATCAGTCAGAAAATTCTTCAACCACACAGCTTGTTTCATTCCTTCAAAACAAGCTACGAACTCAGCCTCCATAGTGGATGTGGCTATCACAGTTTGCTTAGCACTCTTCCAAGAAACTGCACCACCATTTAACATGAAGATGTAACCACCGGTTGATTTTCTATCATCTACATCACCAGCCAAATCAGAGTCTGTGTATCCTTCAAGTTCCAAGGATTCGCCTTTTCCATAAACCAACATGAAATTCTTGGTTCTTTGTAGATATCTTAGAA